GGTCACTATGGATGACTGTGCTTTGCTCTTTGCCCTACTATAGAAGTCCCATTAAGTGAAGGAAGACATTTCTCAGATTCCTTAACAGATCATAACAAAACAAGTCCGAAAAATGTTTCCCCAACAAACAGAAACTAGAACCCAAAAAACGTAGAGAACTATGGGGTCAGGGCTTTTCCCCATAGTTCTCCTTAGGGTAACGGGAGGACACAAACTAGCGTTCTCCCGTCACCCTAAGCTCAGTATACCATATGTTAAAGGAGAACTATGGGGTTAAGGCTTTTCCCCATAGTTCTCCGCCAGTCAGCGCTGGTGGAGCGGGGAGGGGGGGAATCCAGCCCCTCTCCTGTCACGGCAGAAAGCCGTGACAGGATCGAGAGGTGAGCGAACGCCGGTATATGTTCGCTCACCTCCCGATCTACTGAGCCGACCTGTGACAGTCTCATTGTCACAGGTCGGCTAGAACTATGAGATAAGTGAAAAGCAAAGCACTCACCTCATAGTTCTCCTTTAAGCAAAACATACACAAATACAACATCACCTGCATTAGGACAGGGCTGGATACCGCACAAGGTCACCGAGGACATGGCCCAGGGCGGCAGGGAGTAGAGGGGCGGCGCAGCTGGTACTGGCCCTTTAAACTTTTTAGGAAGTTTGGCTGCCTGAGGTCCTGAGCATCCCTGCTGAGATCTGCATGCCTCCCTGCTGAGAGCCAAACACAGCCATGGTGAGATCTGCATGAAGCCCTGTATAATTGCCGTAGAATCATGGATTGATGGGATCTATAATCCTCTATAGCCGATTGCCATACTACATTGATGTATAATTAAAGAGAGATAATGGCAACTGGCTGAAGACTACAAATCTCAGCAATCCAGGATTCTCCACCCATGCCATTCTCCATAGGTGGGGGGGGGGCACATTGAGGTACCTGGCCTTGGGGCAGCAAAGAGTGGAAATCCAGCCCTGCATGAGGAAACTCCATATACATGGGCAGAAGTGGGTACACATGGGCAGCTGTCTTACCAGGAGCGATGGGTGGTGACAGATCTGCACAGGGGCAGACAGGCCATGTGTGAAAACTATGTAGCTGGCAAGGGCTTGTCAGGACTTTGGGGCCCATTTGGCCCTCGTTCACACCAGCCCTATTGGACAGGGTTCCCAAATGCATAGGCATGGCGATTTGCCTCATCTCCTATTGGTTCAGTTCACTTCAACGTACTGCTGGATAGGATGCAGGTTTATGTAACACATTATGGTGAATAGGAGTTGAAGAAAACTTCATTTTGTAACATTTCAAAAAACACATCACACCGCCCCTACCCATCACACCCCAATGGTTATACAGAGCACAACGGACACCTGCTGGTGTGAATGGGCCCTTATAGTAGCTGCGAGTCACATGGGTGCTGGGAACCCCTTCTGCTGACTTCTTGGGCACGTCAGAAATGGGAGTTCTAACAGTGCTCCTGGTTTGTAACCTGGTGGCGAGCAGCGACCCCCTCCTATACTTCCTGCTTGACTAACACAGAAACACCAGACTTCTACCATATAGTCACCCGGGGGGGCCATGTGTTCACCACTGTATCTGCTTGTAGCCAGGGGTCTTGGTACCCACCATACTGCCAAAAGCAAAAATAAGGTGAAGTACTTCCCTTCTCTTCGTAAGGAGAGTGATTTACCACCATGATGGGAAATGTCTGCAATACTAAGCACTATCAATGATAAGTGGTTATCATCACCTAGGGCAGCCCAATCCATCCCGACCCTCCCCAAGAGTCATGTCAGACCGTCAGATCAGAGAGACACAAAACACACACACACACACACACACACACACACACACACAATGGTGTGTATAAATATAGAAAAAACCCTCATAGAAGACATACACACGCAATAGCAGAACAAATGTGTCTACAGGTTTACTCATACAACACACACATCTGCATCTATCAGTCTGTGCCAGCCTCTCTCAATATTATATCTCAGGGAACCTCTGCTAAAATTAATTCAACGGTAGTCAGTGGGAAGAATGTCCCTTACAATAGTAGTTAGTGGGAAGCTAACAAAGCTAGCTAGGTGGTGAGGGGGAAGAATCCCCCCCCCCTTGCATTGGCGGTCAGTGGGAAGAATGCCCCCCCCTTACATTGGCGGTGAGTGAGAAGAAAGCCCCCTTACATTGGCGGTGAGTGGGAAGAATGCTCCCCTAACATTGGCGGCGAGTGGGAAGAATGCCCCCCTTACATTGGTGGTGAGTGGACAGAATGCCCCCCTTACATTGGTGGTGAGTGGAAAGAATACCCCCCTTACATTGGCGGTGAGTGGAAAGAATGCTCCCCTAACACTGGCGGTGAATGGGAAGAATGCCCCCCTTACATTGGTGGTGAGTGGAAAGAATGCCCCCCTTACATTGGTGGTGAGTGGAAAGAATGCCCCCCTTACATTAGTGGTGAGTGGAAAGAATGCCCCCCCCTAACATTGGCGGTGAGTGGAAAGAATGCTCCCCTAACACTGGCGGTGAATGGGAAGAATGCCCCCCCTTACATTGGTGGTGAGTGGAAAGAATGCCCCCCTTACATTAGTGGTGAGTGGAAAGAATGCCCCCCCCTAACATTGGCGGTGAGTGGGAAGAATGCCCCCCTTACATTGGCTGTGAGTGGAAAGAATGCCCCCCTAACACTGGCGGTGAGTGGGAAGAATGCTCCCGTTACATTGGCGGTGAGGGGGAAGAATGCTCCCCTAACACTGGCGGTGAGTGGGATGAATGTCCCCCGTTACATTGGCGGTGAGGGGGAAGAATGCTCCCCTAACACTGGCGGTGAGTGGGATGAATGTCCCCCGTTACATTGGCGGTGAGGGGGAAGAATGCTCCCCTAACACTGGCGGTGAGTGGGATGAATGTCCCCCGTTACATTGGCGGTGAGGGGGAAGAATGCTCCCCTAACACTGGCGGTGAGTGGGATGAATGTCCCCCGTTACATTGGCGGTGAGGGGGAAGAATGCTCCCCTAACACTGGCGGTGAGTGGGATGAATGTCCCCCGTTACATTGGCGGTGAGGGGGAAGAATGCTCCCCTAACACTGGCGGTGAGTGGGATGAATGTCCCCCGTTACATTGGCGGTGAGTGGGAAGAATGCACCCCTAACACTGGCGGTGAGTGGGAAGAATGCCCCCCCTTATATTGGGGGCGAGTGGGAAGAATGCTCCCCTAACACTGGCGGTGAGTGGGAAGAATACCCCCCTTACATTGGCGGTGAGTGGGAAGAATGCCCCCCCCTTATATTGGGGGCGAGTGGGAAGAATGCCCCCCTTACATTGGCGATGGGTGGGAAGAATGTCCCCCTCCCCTTATATTGGGGGCGAGTGGGAAGAATGCCTCCCCCTTACATTTGCGGTGGGTGGGACGAATGCCCCCCCTTATATTGGAGGCGAGTGGGAAGAATGCCCCCCTTACATTGGCGATGGGTGGGAAGAATGTCCCCCTCCCCTTATATTGGGGGCGAGTGGGAAGAATGCCTCCCCCTTACATTGGCGGTGGGTGGGAAGAATGCCCTTATATTGGAGGCGAGTGGGAAGAATCCACCTCACATTGGAGATCAGTGGGAAAGATGCCCCTTGCATTGTCAGTGGGAAGAATACCCCCCCTCCTTACAGAGGTGGTCAGTGGGAAGGATGCCCCCCTCACATTAGCAGTCAGAATGCCCCCCTTACAGACAGATAAGTGGCATTAGACAAGGCACTATGTGGGCACCATCAGATGAGGTCAGTCAGCCATGGCTCAGGGAACCTCTGGAAACCCTGCGGTCCCATGACATCCTGGCTGAGCTACACAAAGACTGGAATCCATCATTCAGGAAACATTATGTAACAACAAATGGGGGAAAAAAAGAAAATAAAAAACACACACACACACACACACAATAACAGGATTGTCAGTTTAAAGGAAACATCATTTCACGTCTTCAGATCCTTAACATAGCGCCGTGGCAGGTTTCTGTTGCATGCCATCTGGTGTGCCCCTCCCCCTCCGTTACATACACCCCTTCCCCTCCGGTATATAAGATGATAGAATTTGCAGATACGACGCAGCAGTCGTGCCCATTTCTGTGGCCACCATGACTAACCTGAACGCGGAGGGTCCCAGTCAGGCTTGTGCTCTTCCTGCTGTGCTTCAGCGATGCCTGGGATGAGAGAAGAGAAAGGATTGGAGGCGGTGATCCAGCCCCTGATACATTGTAGACTCCTACAGGAGCAGTGATATGTGATGTATGTCTGCACAGGGTGACACAATGCTACACACTGACACACATCTCCTATCTCCCCTTCACTTCCTCTCTCTGCCCCCTCCTCCAGTCCGCTCTGCGCCCTCCTCTTTCCACGAATGTGACAGCTGGCTCCTCTGTGCCCCAGGGGCTTCACTTTCCCCCATAAACCCGGGCCCAGATTACTCCCCCTGACCCTCCAAAGCCAGACCTGGACCCCCAATTGCTAAGGAACTTGTCAATGCCAGGTCAGATAAGGTGGAACTACAAGTACCAGCATGGCCCACCAGATAGAGAGGTGCACTCAAAAATCTACAAAGGCCAGTGTGGTGTCAAGGCACATGGGGGAGGGGATGTGACATGTAGTTCTTTAATCAGACACGGTGGCTCTTGAAGTTTCCAAGCAAGTTGGCTTTAGTTCCTCATCATGGCACGCTGTAGTCGTATTGCATGATACGCTGGCTCTTGAAGTGCCCAAGTAAGGTTGGCTTAGGTTCCTCATCAGGACACGTTTAAGTTGCAGCACATAGTGTGCTTGTATTACCTCAGCACCGCCTGTTGGACCTTGCAGCTCTTCTGCACACTGCACCCTGGTCCTTGTAGTTCCTCAGCACCGGCTACTGGACCTTGCAGTTCCTCAGCACACTGCACCCTGGTCCTTGTAGTTCCTCAGCACCGCCTGCTGGACCTTGCAGTTCCCCAGCACCGCACGCCGCCCCTTGTAGTTCCCCAGCACCGCCTGCTGGACCTTGCAGTTCCTCAGCACACTGCACCCTGGTCCTTGTAGTTCCCCAGCACCGCACGCCGCCCCTTGTAGTTCCCCAGCACCGCACGCCACCCCTTGTAGTTCCCCAGCACCACACGCGCCCCTTGTAGTTCCCCTTCTCCCCAACATTCTAACTGCCCCCCCGACCCACAACCACCAAGTGCAATAACTTTTTGCTCACCTTTGACCCCTCCACCCTCACTCCGGTCCCATCCAGTCCTCACTAACTTTTCACCAACATCACCGTACTAGTCTTCTCTCCCTCCGCCCCTCCCTGCCAGGCTGACATAACGGTCACAATCAGACAGCAACAATTAACCCATTACTAACGGAATAAATGGAGGGGGCCCCTGTCCTGCCTATCCAAGGCAGAAGGTTGGATCCAATTCCAAGAACAGCAGTCTTTGCGGGCCCACCGAGGTTGATGATGGAGGGGCAACGGACAGGAATGGCAATGGAGGGGAGGGGGAAGGAGAGCGTAGAGGTGGACAGGAAGGAAAAGGAGAACCAGGTGGGAGGAAGAGATCACACTACATACAATGACAGCATAGGAAAGGGGGGGGGGGGATTTAAAAAAAAAAAAGGGGAGGGAAAGGGACAATGGAGGGAGGGGGTCTGGGGGGGAAAAGGGAGAAGCGCACAGCACAGATGCAAAAGAAGGGGGCGGCAAGACGTGGCTTAAAGGGGGTAGACCCCAGCACGGCAGGAGAGGATGATAGAAAGCCTCCGAGATGCCCAATGCTATCTGCAGATGGATGAAGAGGCACAGTCACCCAGAGGGAGGAGCTACAGCAGAGCCTTATGGGCAGTGTAGTCCCGGACGCCTGCAGGGCATTGTGGTCCCTGATCTTTTGCTGTGCTTAGCCTTTAATGCACCCTGATCCCTGGCAGCTCTGATCTTCCCCACCGGCTGCTGCACCTGCTCCGTCCCTGTAACCCTTTCAGCGGCACGCAGCATGGGAATTGCCCATCGGCAAGAGGTTTAACCCTTCGAAGGCAACCGCCTAGTTTACAATGAAGGCGGTTACCAACAAGGGGTTAAACCTGCTTGCTTGATCATTGAGTTTTGAAGCCGGTACCTGCAGCCTACCTTGTTCACGCAGGTTGCAGCTCGTTCATGGCAGTCAGCGCGGGCGGCAAGCGTGTCACCGGCTTCCTTGGAGCCTTTGAAGTCAATCTGTCAGAAAGAAAGAGAGAAATATAAATAAACATAAAGAACGCAGCCCGCACGTCAATGATTGTGCTTAACCCTTTCACTGCCAGAGCCTTGTAAAGAGACCCATTCACGACAACAAATCTTCCTGTAAGATTAAATCTGCATTTAACGCATTTTATGAATGTTACCTGTAAAAGCCTCTCTCCTGCTGGGCGCCGCCATCTTGGATGGGATGTCAGCAAGTCCCAGAAGACCCGGAGCTGTCACTCTGGGGACACACTACCACCTGGGCACTCCAGCTGTGCTGAAACTATAAAATCCCATCGTGCCTCTGCCTCTGGGAGTCATGCCTGTGGCTGTCAGAGACCTGCAATGCCTTATGGGACTTGTAGTTCCACAGCAGCTTGCACGCAAAGGTTGCCTACCTCTGCTCTACATCAGGGGTAGCCAAATTTCAGCACTCCAGCTGTGCTGGAACTACAAATCCCACCATGTATCTGCCTGTGGGAGTCATGCCTGTGGCTGTTAGAGACTTGCAATGCCTCATGGGACTTGTAGTTCCACAGCAGTTTGCATGCAAAGGTTGCCTACCTCTGCTCTATCAGGGATAGCCAATCTTCAGCTCTCCAGCTGTGCTGGAACTACAAAACCCACCATGCAACTGCCTGTGGGAGTCATGCCTTGGCTGTCAGAGACATGCAATGCCTCATGGGACTTGTAGTTTAACAACAGCTGGAGGGCCAAGGTTTCCTACCTCTGTTCTATAGTATTCCCCTTTAGCTACAAAAAAGGTTATGTAGGGAGGTGAGGGATGAAGCTGGGCCAGCACAGGCAGTAGACACTGACACAAGAAAAGAGGGCTATTAAATGCAGGGGGGGCTGTGCTAGGAAATTGACTCTTCTGGAATAACAAGTTCAAAAGCACATTGCAGGTGAATAGCCATAGTGACATACAAATAGGCTTGGTGCGTCCAGCACCCGAGTGACACCATTAGAGGGGTGACACCAAAATGACTGCCAGTCATTTTGGTGTCACCCCCTGCGAAAGCAGTCCATGTACCCATTGCACTCCTTACCGCTAATCCATAGTAATAGGTTGGGTGCATCAGTAGTCGACGGCTGGCCACCGTCTAAGTAGTATAAAGAAATTATGGACACCGGCACTCCAAGATAGAATAACGTCTTTTTATTGACGTATCATGCAACAGTACACTTATTGCAACGTTTCGGGGTCACACAGGATCCCCTTCATCAGGCCTGATGAAGGGGATCCTTCGAAAGGTCGTGCACTCGGTCATGGACAGAGAGCCCGATAACTGCAGGAGAGAGAGGAGGGGACCGGCGGCATACCTTATCCCACCGTGTGAACGTCCCCTCCTCTCTCTGCCGGCGTCCATCTTGGTGATCAGAAAGATGTATCAAAAGAAGTATCAAAAAGATGACCGGGCATGCGCGGTGACGTCACGGCGGGGTGTCACCCAGTATCTGCTCCGGTCGACACCCAGCCTCGGGATGCCCCTGATTCTGACCATACAGGCTCTGTACAATTAACTTTAGATTTACCAAAATCAGTGGCGTCACAAGGGGGGTGCGTCCCGTACCCGGGTGACACCAAAATGACTGACAGTTATTATGGTGTCACCCTCTCTGAAAAGTCGGGCACTCGGTCATGGACCGACAGCTGCAGGAGAGAGAGGAGGGGACCCGGCGGCATACCTTATCCCGCCAGGTGAACGTCCGGTCCTCTCTCTGCCGGCGTCCATCACCAAGATGAGGACCTACCTAATGTACGCAATGAGCTTCTATCCAATCCTGCCGGCTCTTGTACTACATACTTGTTGGTAAATCTAAAGCAGATTGAACAATCAGATTGTAGTGTGTGCGGTAAGGTGGATGAAAATGATAGTTGGTCCCCTGAACTCCAGCCATCCTTCAATTCATATGTATTCATGAACATTTTTTATTTTTCAATAAATGCCAATATAAGTACCTGAATGTTTTGTATACCAGCTCCCCATAATCCCCAGCACCCCATGGGGGGGACACTGGGACAGCATTATAAGCACCTTAGGGTTGTAATGCATTGCAGCGTGCTGCCAACCTGGGCTTAGGAAAGTGATGGCAGCGCAGGGTCGACCGGCGTGCTGCTGATCCCTCGCTGTGTGGGCTAGGTTCACACCTAGGCGACACCTCACCGCGCGGCAATTGTGCACGATTCCGCGTGGATTGCAGCGTGGTCAGGAGTCGCCAAGGTGTGAACAGATTGCGATGTGGGTGCCCTTATTTCCTAATGGCACCCCAGTCGCGCCGCGCGTCATGTATCGCAAAAAGAAGGTACATGTGCCTTTTTTCCGCGATTGCCATGCGGATGTCACCCCTTTGAAATCGATGGGGCCGCGCGGCAATCGCTGCCTGCATTGTGCGGGACCGCACAATCCCGGGACACGCGTCCCAGTTGTCGTGCGGTGTAGTGCAGGTGTGAACCTAGCCTCAATCAGCACAAAGTAGTGGCCAAGCTACATTGTTTATCTGTCATAAAGAAAAGTGAGGTCACCCACCTGACTATGTAGCATGGCAGGCATAGCTGAATCCCAAAGCTGCCTGAAAAGGACCGGAAATCTCTTGGCGGATTAAGCCGTCACATTTTTCAGCATGGCCGGAGCTCAGCTTTAAATGCGACAGGCCCATGTCTGACTCCATGAGCTGCAGCTACATGCGTTCTGCCTTCTCCATTTAACCCTTTCCACCGATCTGCCTCCTAATGTACTCGAACCCCCCTGTAGGCAACCTCTATGGGGCCATGGCTTCTGATCTCCAGTCCAGTTCATCCCTCGGAACCTAAACGGTGCAGTGTCTTCAGCTTGTGCACCCCTGAACCAGGCAATGGACGCCATTGTGACCCCCCGAGGTTCACGTCCACATCAAAGCGTCACGCTGGCTGCATTTAATAGCAACATCACAATTCCGAAGGTTGCACAATGTCATATATCAGTCAAAGGTCACATCTGCCAATCACATGTCCATCGGTTAGCCAATAGTCAGGTGATACAGAGTGCGATGAGTTAATCTGTCACCAGGCTCAGTGAGAGATCCCGCCAGCACTGATAGATCAGACTCCATTTATTTGTATGTA